GCTAAAACCTTGTATTGTCTGACTGCATTATTATTAATGGCAACTGATACCCCAGAGGTCAGGGTGGCACTGCAGCTTGCCGTTCACTTTAATTATCGACGTGTATCTGCTTGAGGAATAAGAAGAGATAAGGTGAGGATTATTGAATCCCATTTTATGATGCGTGTTATCACACCCTCTACATCCAGACTGGTTCCTATCAGCCTTTCTCAGCTCACTGCAGGTGGGGAGGAGAAAGCAAGAAGGTTTCCCCTTCACATTTTAATTTTGCCCATATCTTTACAATTTTGCCCAACACAAGTTCTGACCATCACATTAATGGCTACAATTTCCCTCAGGCTTGGCTTGTGGCCAAAGCATTTAGATATTTAGTTCTTTAGATATCCAAACACTGAGGTATTTAACTCTTCAGAAACCTAAATATTTAGATGTGTCTGCAGGAACTGCTGTTGTATTTAGCATCATATAATAGTTTTGGTTGGACCTTTAAAAGCTGTCTAGTCCAACCCCCTGCAATGAGCAGGGACGTCTTTAACGCCATGACCCACATCCAGCCTGGCCTTGAATGTTTCCAAAGATGGAACATCTACAACCTTCTCTGTGCAACTTCAGGACTTTCCTGAGACAAGTCATGTGACAAGTACATGGCTTAGTCTCATTTGGAAGAACCAGATCAGACTAAAGAGAACTTAAAGATGTAGATAGAATTCCCCATTCTCTGATAAAACTCACCATTTGCTGTCACTTTACCCAGTCTCAACACTGAACTAAGCAAGCTGAAGCAAAACAGGGGAAAGGACGGATTTTCCAATCACTGGGAAAGATTAACAAGATCTCAAGTGCAGTAAGTATTTTCTCAACCCAAAGAGCAAGCTCTTATGTGGCATATTCAAAAAGAGAGAATTGACATGTGGAAAAAAATGAACAGATTTCCTGTATCTGCACAGGGTCCTCTTCATTTAGTGGGCATTAACACTAAAATAATATTAACGTATTACTTATGGAAATGTATGCAAAAGCTAAACAAGAGGAGGTACCCACATGCGCTAAGCACCCATGTTAATTTTGAAAGGCAGCTCAAAAAATGGTAGCATTTTATCTATCTATCCTGTCATTTACAAGCCACATAACTCAGCTCTTGAGTTCCAACAAATTGCATACTCCCAAATGTAACCCATTGTGTTTGCTGGTGATAAAACAAGATTAAGAGAAAGGGAGGAGTTGAATGAAGCTTTCTGTGGGGAACACTGTCCGAGTCACTCTACAGCTTTACCCCATATTCATGCAAGGCACACATACCTTGTTAGCGTCTCTTTTAATGCTTCCAATTACCATCAAGAGGCAGGTAGGCCCGCCACATGAGTTAAAGAAAAGGCCTTTGACAACCACTCTTCTGTATTGAAGTAATGAAATATATATACACAGAGCTCCAAACAGTTTGCTCCCTTTCAAAGCATGATGATTACCTTTTACAGACGCAATGACAAGAGGTGCCTTTGGCAATCCCATGGTCCCCGTCTTCTGAGAACTGGCAGAATGAGGGGGAAGAAAAGCCCAGAAGCCTTCTTTAGCCTCCTTATTTTTCTTTGTCACATCATTAAGCGTACAATGAATCTCGAATTAAATTTCCCTGACTGCTGTCACCATTTTGATTGATAGGTGTCCTTGGATCAACCTCAGCAGGGCATGTTGTTGCACCAAGCCCCCTTTCCCCTTGCCATCCATTATCAGCCCCTTGTCATCATTACCTTCACATGTCAGTTCATTTACCACAGAAACGGTGTCACCAACTAATAGGGGCTATAGAAAAACATTTGTTACAAATAAGGAAAAACTCTAATAAATCAGGTTATGCCTCAGTCTGAAACTCATGGAAAATGAGTATTTGTCCAGCATGCTTGTTCACAAGTCGCCCTCTACAATTTTTTTTCCTGTCCTTATATAAAACCATAAACAAAGCACACAAAATATACCCATTATGAGAAACAACAAACAAACAGGGCAGAGCCATGTGCAGATGAAGTTAAAACAGCTTTTACAGCTTAGGATTTTCTTCCTTTTAAAAAACAGCAAAAAAAATATGAACACCAGAGTTAACTTCAAGTCCCTGGTACACTAAAAACATATAAGCCACAGAAGCTAAGAGTCCTTGCTGCTGACATTGGAGATTTTCTGCCAAAGTGATTTTTCATCAGATAGCAAATACTATGTCAAAATTAAAGCCATTTATATGAAGGGGTCATTTGCACTTAATTTCTGATTGCAAAAAAGAAATCAGGAGGAGGGGAAAAGATATTTTGAGCCTCTTGAAATGTTATATTTTTTATTTTTGTTTGTTTCAAAACTTGAACTTATAAGAAATTATTGTTAAAAACAGAAGCATCCAAAGCACAATGTAAAATTTTAGATTTATCAAAAAAGGTATTTACATTTATTTTATTAGATTTAAAAGAAACATAAAAGTTTCCTTTTGACTTTCACAGTCTCAGGACAGAACTTGTGTTTCTTTGGGAACTTCACTGAAACTGAGAAAATCTACATGGGGTGAGAAAACCATTCTGTGTTTGTCACCAGTGCATGGAGCAGTGCAGTCTTCAAGTTACATACGTACCATAGTGGTGTCCTGGCTAGGGCAACTGCTAGGTTTTTGCTTTCTCCTTCACCATCTTACGGAGAAGGAATTTTTCTGTGACAGACATGCCTGTCCCTGAAGTGATTTATCATATAAAAAGGTCTTTATACATTGCATGCCAAAGACTCAATCCCCAAGGATTGACACACAACTATTGCTTCAATCTCTCTTCTCCTTTTCCCCTCTGATCACCACCAAAGCATGAAAACACCTCTAGATGCCTGCCAATTAACAACCCAGCAAGGGAAGATCGGCCCTTCAAGAATAAATAAGGAAACCCAGAACAGTCTTGCTAAATTATTTGCAAATGAAACCTAACTGCAAGCGTGCTGCAAAACACCATCATCCCCATCCCAGCAACAGCTCCTCATACAGGACAAGGTCAGCATAAATTGTGTTGAACGTGTTAATGCTCAGGGAGCCACAGCTGCCATTTATACGAATGAGTTTCATCCTTTGCTAGAGGTTTTTATGCCCCAGTAAGTGGTAGAAGTGTTAGTGCAACATGTTAGACAATTTTCCTAGAGCTCCAGCCCAGTTCTTACCTCTAGTTCCCACAATCTATTCCAAGGGAGACAGTTAACCTCATAATAAGGGAAGACTAGCTTTTTCCTTAGGGGATGTTTGGAAGACCATCTAAGCAATTAAACAGCTTCACTGCTACTGAAATCAGGAGGATTAATGCTCTTAAACCCCAGGGATCTTCGGTTCATCAATCCACCAGTACACACTCTTTCCTCTCTGTTTATAACTGATTTTAGCTGATGCATCCAGGAGCTGCAGGATACCAGGTTCACACAGGGCTGTGACTGCTTGGGGAGCAGAAGATGCAGGTTTGCAAAGGCCACTCTGGAGCACCACAACACTGAGCAGTCTGCTCTGATTTATTATGCAATTAGCAGTGGGTGCAGCTCAGTGCACTGCGTATGAGATACAACACTAGCAAAGCTCAGTGCTTAAAGCTGACTTCGTACTCAGGCACCTAAATAACCACCTATAGTTTTCTTTACTAACTTCAATGAAAATTTTGTCTGGAAATGAAGATAGCTTCTACAGATTCTCAGTGCTGAAAGTCTCCATCAAGGACTACAAAACTAGGAACTGCGATTTTAAATGGATGACTTTCACACAGCCTTACTGTACTGGATACTGCAAAGACACAGAGCACAGACTCAGCTTACTGTAAAACCAGCAGTGCAAATGCTTGCTTTGCAAAGGAAATGCATAGACAAATCAGAGATGAGGGGTTCCTCTGGGAAATCAAGTCATATTGTAGCTATAAAAATCAGATGCACATGGGGAAGGTTTTCAAAACTTATGCATGAACCATGATAAACACTTGGCACGAGAGGGCTGGGTGGATCACATATGGCTCCTTCCCATACCCAGACCACACCATCAGGTGGCAAAATATAGGGTGAAAATCACTTTGTAGAAGGCAATATTATTTTAACTGCCCAATTTTCTCTACTCTTGCTTTTGTTCACGTGAAATCCTCCAGTTGTGACAAAACTCTCAACTCCTCACAATGTGGATCAGAAAGATGATAAAGTCATCCACTGCGTTTCTATTGAATATTTGTTCCAGTGGCTGCTGCTTGCTCACTGGATACAGGGAGTCAGGCCAAGACAATTACTGTTTGGGTTTTTTCAGATGGCTATTCCAAAGTGTCCAAGCAAACCACAGCTCCCTTAGCCTATTGAAAATGCCCTCAAGGCAGCTTCCCTCCCCTCTGCTTTGATTCTTCTGTGCACTACTACAACCCTCTAACTGAGCAAATATCTTTGTGCGGTAGAATCACTCCTCTTCATCTGGAAAAACTTTTCCCAGCTCTTCCTATAGAAGCACAGGTGAAACAGAAGTGCAGAGAAGTTACCCCTGCATAAGAGTGTCCAGAGATGGGCAAGAGCCCTTCACCACTGAGGATGGGACGTGGTGCTGCTCTTTCTATCGGGTGGAAGAACTCTGCTGCTATAGTGTGTCTTTTTGTACACTTGTTTCCTTGCTGGCAAACAGAAGATTGAGATACAGAAATGCCAAACCACTAATAGGGCCTAACCGGACATCAGAGGAACAAAAGTAAAACCTGACTGCAGGTGGATTTTTGTGATACTGTTTTTAGGAGGTGCCTGAATTACAGTTATAAAAGTGGTAAAAGGAGCTGAAGGAATAGCCCTCCCCAGCACTGCAGGCCTTGAATAGCTCCCAGGCTGTCCTGGGCCATCAGGTGCTGCATACATTTTTCTTTTCCTTTTCTTTTCTTAAGCCACAAGTTTGACCATGAAGAAAAGTTTATTGAAAAATGAACCAACAAATTATTCAAATTTAATAAAATATAATAATAAATTAAAAAACAATGACAACTCACAGTCTGAAGTCCAACTTTGGCGAGAAAGATCAGCACACACTTTGCTCCTCTAAACCTGGATGGTTCCGCAGCAGCCAAAGGGGTGGGCACTGCACGGCCCCTTGGCAGTCTTCAGGGAAAAACACAATCAAAAGGGCAAAAACTGCAACCGCCAAGGAATGAGGTGGGGGAAGTGTGGAACACAGCTTTGCAAGCACTGAGGTGAGAAAGAAAGGAGGAAGGGGAAGAGGTACTCCAGATAACCAGAGCAAGATCGTCCTGTAGCGGTGTGGAGGAAAGGGCCTACACCTGAGCTGAGGGATATTTCCTAAACATGTGACTTACTTAAATTAGTCATCATTAAATTAATCATTTTTAAGAGATGGGAAACAATGAAAAGATTATTCCTAGTGACTAAGCAAGCTTAAGCGCCATGAAAATGAGTTGTTCGGCATCATCATTACCGAAAATGAACTTTGCTTTGGCTATGAAATATGTCTGATGAGATGGTTAAAAAAAAAATGGAGGGTTAATTTGTGGAAGTGACTAAAATAAGAATTTCCTGACTGTCCAGCAGCTGTTTAACAGGGTATCTGCTATCAACTGGCAATTAAGAAGTGTTAAGGGGAGCAAATCCAGAGATAGAACTGGAGTTGCTAAATTCAGTGTAGCTTGACTTTCCTGGACTTCCATGAGCTCAGCACAGCTTAAACCATAATAATTATAATAATAATAAAAAAATATTAGCAATTGGCTACAAAACACTTCTGAAAGTATTTTACAATGTTAGACTGAACAGAAGTTTTGCATTTTCTCCTCATACTAAACTAAGCATCTCAAACTAAAGCTCAGCCAGGAAGAAATTTAAGGGTCAGAAAGCTACAAACAGGGAAGATTTTACCCAGCTACCCCTGTAGCTGGGCTGGAAACTTTTATTTTGAGTCATTTCAGAGAGAGACATACAGTTTAGCCATGAATTGTTAAGGCAAAAGGACACACATCACATCTCTCAGTGAGCTGTTTCAACAGCTAATTCTCTCATTGTTAAAATTTGCCCTTTGTTTCGTAGCCTTCAGCTTTCAGCCTTCAAATCTCATTGCACCCTTGTGGGCTCAGCTGAAGAGCACTTTAGCTAAAGAAAACATGGCTACACTCTGTCTTTGATCAAATCACTTTTCAGTTTGCTCTTTGTCAAGCTGAACAGGCAGAGCTTCTGGGCAGCTCCCACATCTTTCATTTGGAAAATGCAAGACATTATTCCAAGAGCAGCTTCACAGGGCTCAGTATAAACCTTATCCTCTTGCCCCTACCTCTTTGAAAAGACCATCATATTTACACAGTGCTATCTTTTCAGGACAAATAGTTCCACTAAAAGCAAGAAATTAGATGTTCCCCCAGATTGGCACAAGATGCCATCTATTCTCTAGCTATGCATCTTGCATCCTGCAAATTCAAACACACAAGAATAACTCCACTCACTTTAAAGCACTGTTTCATTAATGACTGGTGGCTTTTTTCTCTTAATCTTAACCTACTAAGTCAGTATTTTGCTTCAACTATAACTGAAGTGTTCCTTCCTGGCTGTGGGTATGAAGGGAGGCACAGACAGGAACTGTTTGATGTCCATTTAACTGCAATAAGCGAGCAAAAATGCAGATAAAAGTAAATGATGCCTAATTATTGTCACCACTAACACCACCTGTCATCACCCATGTCTGATGGTGGTTATATTATTTATCATTTGTAATATATATATATATATATGTATAGATACACATATAGACAAACCTGGATATAACCACCCACAGAAAACAGATTCTTCAGGACAGAGCATCTCTGTTCTGCAAACTGCAGCACCACCGTCCCAACCCAATAGGAGCTGATTGCTGCTCTTGTAATGTACCTGTACCCACCAGCACTCAGGGGAGACAACAGATACAAAGCAACCTGCAGCTCCCAGACCTTCTGGTCATCTAGGGGGGCAGAAGGGCTCTATAAAATGACATCAGGCCCAGAGGCTTCTCTTTATAGAATCATAGAATCGTTAGGGTTGGAAAGGACCTTAAGATCATCTAGTTCCAACCCCCCTGCCATGGGCAGGGACACCTTACACTAAATCATATCACCCAAGGCCTCATCCAACCTGGTCTTGAGCACTGCCAGGGATGGAGCATTCACAACCTCCCTGGGCAACCCATCCCAGTGCCTCACCACCCTAACAGGAAAGAATTTCCTTCTTATATCCAACCTAAACTTCCCCTGTTTAAGTTTTAACCCGTTACCCCTTGTCCTATCACTACAGTCCCTAGTGAAGAGTCCCTCTCCAGCATCCCTATAGGCCCCCTTCAGATACTGGAAGGCTGCTATGAGGTCTCCACGCAGCCTTCTCTTCTCCAGGCTGAACAGCCCCAAGGGCATGAGTAATGGTTTATACATATGATATCCAACTCCTCCAGGGAAAGGCCTCCTGTTTTATTTTACTCCCACAATGTCCCACAGCTGTGCCTTTGAACTAGACCTTTTTTCCATTGTCAAAGAGTTGTGCCATTTTCTTTATTTAGCACTTGAGGTTTTGTTTAAAAATACAAACCACCAAACTGTAAATCTTAAGCAGGAACAAGAACCATCTGTACATGCTTATAAAGTAGTCTGGCTGGAGATACGTTGATGATGGAATATAGCACAAATGCAAATTCCTGCTTAGGATATTTTTTTTAATACTTTTTTTTTCTACAGAGGAGGCAAATAATTAATTTCTTCTGTTGTTTAGGTGGTTCAAGTGGAAAACAGGCATTTCTGCTGTTCCGCCTCCATTCCTAGGTGTAAGCCCACACATGTGCAATAAAGAGAAAGCAAACCACAAACAGTCAAGACCTTGGCACAAAATGCCTCCCTGCTCCTTTGCCCCCAGGCTAGATAATGTCTGGACTAATTGCTGCCTGCACGTGTATGTCAAACTGTCCCAGATGTTTTATGATTTACTGTTGTAAAATGAAAATCAATTTAAAAGCATGAGAATGAATCCAAGGTTAATCACACTTCTGCTACTGACTCCAACTTCCACACCACGCACCTTCAAAAACAGGGGTTCTTCCCATGTTTTAACCTCATTCAAAACCAAACTTAGCTGGCTAAAGAGTTACCTAGTTGGAATTTAAGCCACCAAAGTCTAACCAGGATACCAAAAAAAAACCATCATGCAGCTGTTTCCTACACATAGTTCACCAAAATTCACCAGGCACCATGATAGATTGCCAGAAAGTTTCCAGGTTCTCCAGTCCTGCTCTGCATGCTGGAAAAATGTAGGCCAAGCCACTGGGTTTCTGCTCACATGCAATCCTAATAACAACCCCAAAACAAGGGGTACCTCATCCATTTCCCTTGGGCTTGTTTGGAGGCTCTCCTTCTGAGATTTCACACCAAACACAGTGGGAACTGTTGCTCAGAGGGCGAGATGTGGTTATAGTCCTTGTCCTGTTGCAGTGGATCTGGACCCCTTCACTGTGGGATTCCAAGCCAGGGAAGAGCATTGCTGACCCTCCTTCCAAACAATATAACTGTGCTGGAAGAAATTACTTTGGCCAGGTAAGGTAACCGGAAAGATCTTGTGTTGCTCCTTCTATTCCATAAATAAGCATATGCATTGCAATATAATGCATGGTTGGACTGACCCTTTCCAGCTCACTGACTGCAGAGAAGTATTTTGAAAATTACTCTAATGCATATTTACCCAATGGACCGGAATAATTCACTTTGACACATGAATATGCCTTATTAAAAGCTGCTTACACACAGGTTACTCAACCCAATCCTCGTTTTCATCTGTCTGAGGCATGTATGAAATACTGTGTTTATTACATGTAAGTCAGGGGGACCTAGTTTATTTCTCCTATCTCCTGCTAGAGAAAAGAGGGTGCCTTAAAAGGAGTACAATAAAAATGGTTACAATTAGTGTTTCAGGTGCTATAAACTGGGTGAAAGAAGTCCGTCTGTAACTGAAGCCAAGGGAGGAGTCAGCCTGGCATCACAAGCCTTTAGTAGAGCCTGTTGCGATAGGACAAGGGTTAATAGCTTTAAACTAAAAAGGGGAGACTGAGACTAGATAGAAGGAAGAAATTTTTTACAATGAGGGTGATACAGCACTGGCACAGGTTGCCCAGAGTGGTGGTAGATGCACCATCCCTGGAAACATTCAAGGTCAGGCTGTACAGAGCTCTGGGCAACCTGGTCGAGTTGATGTTCCTGCTTATTGCAGGCAGGGTGGACTAAGTGATCTTTAAAGGTCCCTTCCAACCCAAACCATGCTATGATTTTATGAATCTTCACACCCTCTGTATAAGGCTTCCCACAGAAGGTGCAGCCAGAGACCCTTTTGCAACATGTTCTGAAAAGGCTGTTTTTTCAGTGAGATAAGAAATCCTTTCCATTACCCTCATCCTCTGTGACAGATCAGCCCACTCGCTACATGAGCCTGCTTTGCTTTATGTATTGGGGCCAAGTAGCACCCGAGCAGCCCTGGGGAAAAGTGCCTTAATTGCCAGTAATACAATAGCTCCACTTAGCACCCGCAAAGCAATTCAAAAATGGAATCAAACATTTTCTGGCTACACATTTAGGGAGCAGCCGGGTGTGTTGGCATGTTACTCCATTACTTAACCACTGGGTCATATATCTGTGACTACAGATGGCTTTTACATCCGCACCTCTTAAGCAGCATCTGATACCATCACCAAACCCTGGCCCAAGGGAAGTGATGCATCCGTTCTGATCAGAAAAACTTTTCCCTTTAAATTAAACACCAGCTCAGCAAAGGTTTTTCTGTGGCCCCATGGAAACAGCCTTTCTCATCTTCAGCATGAGAAGGACTACTTGGCTACAATTCAGCTACAGCTCTGCCTTGCAAAATACAAGAAGTGGCAAAGAAAATGCCTTTTCCCTGTTGATTTCTCATCCACACTGCTTCCCAAAACTTCTAGCCATGTTTTTTTAACAACACTTTTTCTCCAACTCTGCTTCATCTGGGTCTTTTCTTCCAGGCATCTTCAAGGTATCCTCAACCTCCAGGGATGGCTGCAAAAATATAACCGTGCAAGTATTTGCACTGTAAATCT